CTGCTGGCAGTGGGAGCACAGCCTGTCCTCTCTGGACAGTCAGGTCTGCCTGTGTCCAATTTCTCTGGCCAGGCTGTGATCACTCAGCCTGTCCTCTCTGGACTGTCCAGTTCGTAGAGCTGATGAGCCGCCGGCAGGGGGAGCTGGACACGCTGGTTGCCGTGGGTTATCGCTCGGCGCTGACGGAAGAACGGCGCCGTTACTGCTTCCTGGTGGACCGGCAGTGTGCTGTGACCAAGCTGCTGATTGGCTACCACTGCAGGGTGAGAGCAGGAGCCCGGGCGCGGGGTGGGGGTTCAGGGGACAGGGGCGCCAGCACCTCACACCTGGCTCTGTTCCCAGGTGAGGGAGCTGTTGTCTCAGAAACTGTCGTCGTGGCAGCAGTCCTGTGCCCAGCCCACCCGTCTGCCAGAGAGGGCACTCAACCTGGTTCGACAGACAGCACCCTCCCCCGGGGCTGCTGGGATAGCAGAGGTCCTCCGTGCCGCCAAGCTGGGTGCCAGCGCAACCCTGGAGCAGGTGAGTGAATCTGTGTGTGTTTGGACTATAGAGCAGGTGAGTTAATCCATGTGTGTTTGGACTGCAGAGCAGGTGTGTGAATCCATGTGTGTTTAGAATCTAGAGCAGGTGAGTGAATCTCCAAAGTGACATAATAATTAAATATTTAATCAATGTATTCAGAGAGGAAGTGTGCAGTAAAAATTGGAAACTAAAGGATCAAATTCTTCACCAAAGGCCGTGGGGTGAGACAGGGCTGCAGCCTGAGCCCAACACTGTTTAATATCTATATCAACGAATTAGCAGGAATGTTGGAGCAGTTTGCAGCTCCTGGTCTCACACTACACGACACAGAAATCAAGTTCCTGCTCTACGCAGATGACCTGGTCCTGCTGTCGCCCACAGAACAGGGGCTGCAGCAGAACCTGGCACTGCTGGAGCAGGACTGTCAGACCTGGGCACTGACAGTCGATCTGGACAAGACCAGAGTTATGGTTTTCCAGAAGAAAGCCAGACCTCAGGGAAACAGGTACAAATTCACACTGACCAACAACACATTGGAGCACACATCCAGCTACACATATCTCGGTCTCACTGTCAGCTCATCTGGGAGTTTTGACCTGGCAGTGAAGACACTGAGGGAGAAGGCACTCAGGGCTTTCTACACAATAAGAAGGAGGCTCTTCAACATCAACCCACCAACAGGAATCTGGCTCCAAATATTTGAAAGTGTAATCCAACCCATTGCC